CTCTGTGTACACACGGACTAGCGCTATCCACTAGGCCAGGAGCGGAAGCGAGAAAACNACGGTTCACCTTTGGGGTGACCTTGAGCCTATTTTACCTTGACAAGGTTCCCACAAGGTATCTCCAAGGTAAAATTTGTGGGTCAACCTTGTCAAAGGGGGGGGTAGCGTCCACCTGTGTTGTTGCTGCTGCTAGAGTTAGTCTACAGACGAACACAGAAAATACAATGTCGATGAAACTCCAACCTTCCTCGTGTCTTCCGCACGTAGACTATTGACTGCATACAGTTGTAGAGCCTATAGTAGGTAGGTAAGGATGCATGAGATGTGTAGTCCGACGCGTGCGCCTTTTTGTGCTCAAAGTGCGCCTTTTTGGGTATAGTTGGGCGGTCGGCCAGTCCGTCTCTACGTGCATTGTCAACCTTACATTGTAAGAAGTCCAGCGCCCAGCAGGTGTCCCTCAACCCTCACTGTAAATACTTGAACACATGCCGTCGAACGGATTGTGGNGTGTAGTCCGACGCGTGCGCCTTTTTGTGCTCAAAGTGCGCCTTTTTGGGTATTTGGGCGGTCGGCCAGGCCGTCTCTACGTGCATTGTCAATCTTACATTGTAAGAAGTCCAGCGCCCAGCAGGTGTCCCTCAACCGTAACCGTAAATACTTGAACACATGCCGTCGAACGGATTGTGTGTCAGACGGGTAGCTTCTTCAAAGCTGTAAGCTGTGAGTGATGTGTGGGTACAAGTAATAGTCTAGTGCGGCGGAATCACGTGTTCACTCCCTGTTTTTTCTCCCGAAACGTCACTTTCCGACCGCATCCGGTATCCGCCCCTCTCTGGCTTTGGCCTTGGCCCGCAGCNATACTTGAACACATGCCGTCGAACGGATTGTGGGTCAGACGGGTAGCTTCTTCAAAGCTGTAAGCTGTGAGTGATGTGTGGGTACAAGTAGTAGTGCGGCGGAATCACGTGTTCACTCCCTGTCTTTTCTCCCGAAACGTCAGTTTTCCCACCGCATCCGGTATCCGCCCCTCTCTGGCTTTGGCCTTGGCCCGCAGGCCCATACACACGGTTTTCCCAGCGTTCATCGTCGCCCAGTAACAAATAATTAGCTATACGTAAGCAAATCTTACCTGGTGAGCCTCAAATCGGCAGGGATCCTTGGAATCAAAGGCAAACATCTTGCCCAAAGAAAGATCACGGCAATGGGAAATTATCGACCACACGACCGTGACAGGCACAAGGGCAACGGCACCAAACGGACAGCTTCTCCAACACCGTGTCGAAATGAAGACAAAACACTGACGCCAAGCACTGAGGAGTCAAAAACCCGTGATTTGTCTCCCCCCACTGGCGGTGGTGGTGGTAAGGGAGGACGACAAAAAGCACATAGCCCAGAAGCCAGATGTGAGAGCTCGAGCGATGACGCTACAGAAGACGGAGCTTGCGGAGATCTTTCACCTCTGCTTGCTGGTTGCTTCCATTGGACGGCGGTCGTCCAAGCATTTCTTGTTGCCCGAAAGGTTTTGGTGGTGGCGACGGTGGGGAGGGTATTGATGGCCGGAGGTTTGACCGTGCCAATCCTGACCCTAGGCATAACCGCAGCAGCCGCAGCAGCAGGTACGAGATGTTGCATCGATGGAATTTGAAGGATGCAACTATCATAGCAGTACTCGCCAAACCAATCGTGCTGTGTGCTATCGGCGCAACGAATCATGCGAAAACCGTGATGATAGTCAAAAACACCCGTTTTTCTCGCGTACTTACGTGCGATGTGCCTTTCTCTACCCAAGCATACTAGACTGTAATACCTCCTCAATGTGTCGAGATAACCAACCTTTGCTTGCAAATCACACCACCGTGCTGACATTATCGTGGATAGCAGCAACAGCAGGAGCACCGGCAGACGAGCATTTAGCACACCTGCACCTACAGCAACACGATCGACACTTCGATCCAAAGCAACCTCATCGACAGCAGCATTCCTTTGGCGGGCCTGGAAACACCAGCACCGCGACATGGTCACCGGGATCAGGGCCAGAACCTCCACCACGAAAGCAGCAGCCCGCCCGGATCGAGCTCAGGTTAAGGCTCGTTGGTTGGCCCGCCACCACCAACAGGACAGACGTCGTGATAGAGGCCCGCGTTGCAAGCGTGGCGCTTGATATGATGTTGATAGGAGGTCGAAGGCCTGGGAATGATGGCGGAGAAAGCGGAGGAGGAAACGGGCTCTCCGACGACTACCGGATTCTCGCCGACTTCGATTCGGGTGCCGTGAGGCTATGGCAGGTGGGATATTGATGGGGGAAATCAGGAACGTGTGGCAAAATAGGCGTAATGAAGGCGCGGAAGCGTGGTTCACAGCACAATGCACCACCTGCTGAGTATTGTTTTTGCGACTTCATGCTTCTCGACTCGGATGTGTCCATAGGGCTTCNGATTCGGGTGCCGTGAGGCTATGGCAGGTGGGATATTGATGGGGGAAATCAGGAACGTGTGGCAAAATAGGCGTAATGAAGGCGCGGAAGCGTGGTTCACAGCACAATGCACCACCTGCTGAGTATTGTTTTTGCGACTTCATGCTTCTCGACTCGGATGTGTCCATAGAGGCCGCAAAGGACAGGATCCCATCCAGTGGCCGGTGAAGAAAAAGTTGACACATTTTCTGTTGCGAGCTGTCGATCTCCGGCAAATTTGGAAAGAGGTACCCCCAACATTTTACTTCATGCAGAAAGCTACAACCGGGCTGATCTGGGAGGTGCCGTAAGCATTGGAGAGTTGGCGACAGCGCTCGACCGCTTCTTCTAATAGCAGACACGGTTTGAGGCTCCCTATTAATCAGGCTAGGTACGTCTTATCGGACATTATGGCCAATATCTCGAGCCGATATCCGTAGATCACTCAAGTAGTGTGTCACGGTTCTAGAAGCCAAGTTCGTGATATCCAACAGCAGTCACGTAGCATCCTCATAAGCTCAATATCAGAATATCAGGTTCAGCACTCACAGGCACTTACACTTGGTGGGCAAACGCTTCGAAGGCGGCGTCAAGTAAACGCCTGGGTGATGATCGGGCAACCGCCAAGATAGGGTGTTCGCCCTAGGGGTCAGGGGACAATTATCCTGAACTAGGCTGGATATGGGGAGCATTTTGGTCTGTTCAATTCCCCGGCCATGTCCGCCTGCGCCCTCGGAATACTCGCGACCATAGCGAAGTGTTGATCATCTTATATACCAGTGAGGCCAACCGGTTGGAACACATACCATAACGTTCTTGAACTTTTGTCGCAACCCACGACGACTCTCAGACGCCTGGGTGGACGTGCGCCTGATTCTTTTTATTTCTGCTGTTCGAAACTATTCCCGGCGTGTACTCTCCGCTCCATGCGACGCCAGAAACAAAAACAGCTGCCGTACACATGCTTCGCTTCCGTGCCGCACACCTGCAGCAGACGGCCTGCGACGAATAGGTGGTTGGAAATGTGATCCCACACGCATACGTTTGAAAGGCGGGCATACAGCCCTTGCTGCATACGACATGAAACTGATACCCGAGGTGGAAATATTATTTCATGCTGTTGCTCCAGGGGCCGCCCGGATTTGCCGAGCACCGACCCCTCGTACCTCTCGGTCTGTGTCCGGGGGAGCACTCCGTTTTGGCATGGGGGGTGAAAGCGCCGTCTGCTGGCGCCAGGGACCGCAACAGCAGCAGCACGAGTTGGGTAGAAGTCTCTTCCGACACGCCAAAAACCTTCGTGTTGCATGGCCGCAGAACGACATCAGCGGAGGATTTCCCGCCAGGGGATAGTGGTGGTGGTGGTGGTGGTGGTGGTGGCCGAGGCGGTGCCGATGGGGGATGCGATGCGTCCGAGAAACAACCCCCCCTCCGGGGACGAATGAACGCAGCAGGCGAAGAACACGGTGGCATGCTTTGCCGGGTATGCGCGCATACTCTCGAACCAGAGGGTTTAGAGGTCGGAAATAGTGGGCATGGTGTTGACGGGAGCAACGATGTTCAATACGTGCTGACGTCCTCCCTGTTCCCCCGAGAGCGAAAGCGCCTCATGCTCCAAACGTCTTTGATCGTAACATTTGTCGGGAGCGAAGGGGCGAAAACGGCGGTGGGGGCGGGGACCGACGAAAGCGGCGGCGACGACGACGGCCGGAAGAACGAGCGGGGCCATCTACAGCAGCTGGAAGAAGAAGGGCAGGGCGTGGAGTGGCCGATTGAGCTACGAGAAGGTGACTACCCAGCCTCCGTCGCGACTGAGTTTGTGATGTCACGGCTGGGTTTGGACGTTCGGGAAAGAGGAACCGCTCCGAAGGTGTTTCGGGGAGAGGACAGAGTGCTGGACGAGGACGGTGTAGAACAAGGCGTTCATGGCGCGGCAGCAGCAGCAGAAGGGGAGCGAGTGGTCCGATGGGTCACCCAAAAGATAGAGGAAGAGCTCGCCGAGCGAGAGGTAAGGGAGGGCTGTCGACAGGTGGGTGTGGAGGTTGCTGTGTCCGGAAGTAGTGTTGGAGACATGCATACTTCGGGGGGGGTTTGCCCCCGTGAGCGGTGCAACTGCTGTGTGTTGGTAAAGGGGCTGATTGAGGCACACGGTAGATGTGCTGGTCTCACCAGATGGTGCTTGCTGCTTTGAACGATATCGATTTCGTCGAACGGAAGCATGCATATCACGGAAGTGATGTTGGATGTACATTCCGGTGATCAAATGGAGTACCATGCCGTGTTCGAACATGATCTGTGCAGAGCTGACACCACGGAAATATTGCTTGGAATTGTGTATATGCTGTAAGGGCTCAAGCATGACTTGACATGGCTGGCTGCGCATGCTGTTGGCTCGGAGCCTGCCACCACGTGCCTCCATGAATGAGTGCAAGGGGGCTGTGTGCAATCCTTCATCTCAGTATTTTCAGCACGCGTATTTTTCACACCGGCATTACTTTTCGTGCGGGCACGGTCCTGGATGGGCGGCGTTGACTGTAGGGTTTCCATCTCTTGAGTACTTCACCAGCACTCTGACTGATTGAAGTTGTGGCTGTTGATGCAGGTGCGGCGTAGCCTCAAGCGAGCGGAGGCAATCGAAGTGGCATCCAAAACAGGTCATTTGAAGATCATCCGCGGGGCAACTAGGGGAGAAGACGGAGAAGAGGGCAACAGCGGTGGTGATGAGATTTATTCCTCGAACGCCGACTGGCTAGTGACAGACGTCAACACTCTGGATGTGACGGACCCCTTCGACTTCGAGTAAGTCAAGACCAAACACGGTGAAGTCATGGGTGGAACTATTTGGTAGTGCTTCACCGGCTGCCGCTGAGAGGGCGTAGACCAAAGTATGATCGAATACAGTCTATACTTCCCCCACACCCAACGGGATAGTTCGTTACTATTTACTCTCACAATGCGAAGCTAATATCTCCAGGTAGTTTTTCCATAGCTGCTTTCGCCTTGTTGCTGTGACAGGTACGTGCTCGGACCAGAAGGCCTGGCGGACGCATTTTTAGCTGAGCACGTGTGGGAGCACTTGTCCCTGGATGACGCTCATCGTGCCACCAGAAACTGCCAACGATACCTACGCCCGGGGGGGCGCCTTCGGCTCGCGGTGCCTGATCCGGCATGGTATCCGACCACGTTTGCACGCACTCCTTCTGTTTCACGCCGTCATGAGGATATCACCACACGAGAGAGGTCTGCCGATTGGCCTACCCAGACCCCGGGTTCCAAGCGTGCCGCCGACATCGAGAACGGCGGGGACCTTTCCAGTAGTCGCGACGACGAGGACCAAGTCGTCACTAGTACGCATCACGGGGTAGGCGAAGAGGCAGTGTCCAGCGAAGCAATCCGAGGACGAGACGGTGCGCGGAGTGGAGGACGAAATCTTGAGCTGCCGGGTTGGCTCAATCGGGACATGCTCGAAGCGGACGCCAGGGACGGCCACCTCGTGCAGTATACTCCCGAACTCCTGGCCAACGTCTGCTGGAGCGCGGGACTGACGCCCACCCTTGTTGAAGGCGGAGGTATTGTTGGTGGCGGAGGCCGTTCCGGCGGCCGCGTTCACTCCGTATCGTCCCGAGCATCGCCATCATCGGTGGCGACAAACGAAGCTGCAGCAGAGACGAATGGCGGATACATGGATGAGCAGCGACACGAGCGAGATGACCGTTGGGGGGTCATCAAGAGGAGCGTTGCTGGTGGAGACCCAAGGGGAGCGGTATCGATCGTCATGGATTGCTTTAAGCCTTCAACAACAAACAGCATTGAAGGTCTTCGAGTGCATCCACCTGAGGTGCACGGCCCGCGGGACGTTGCAGGCGAAGACCAGACCCGTGACCACCCAGACGGCCATCCAGTCCTTCTTGACCACACCTGTGGCACAAAACACTCTGAGAACACCCCAGGACCCCCCTCGCTGTCGCGGCCTTCGTCAAGTCAGTCGTCATCTTCTTCGTCCGTGTCATCGCGGCCACGGCCGCCTGGGAGTACCATGGGACCCAGGAGTTGCGCCGGGGACTTCCTCAAGCCGACGACGTCTGACGTGTGCAACGCTGCTGTCGGTAGGGGCAGTACTGACAACGTCCCGGACGAGGAGGGTAGTTTCGGCGGAAATCGCGATCTTGCCGGCGAGCGACAAGTTCGGAAGAGGAGGGAGTCTTTTGCGGAGTGGGTAGCCGAGGCCACAAAGAGCGGCCGAGTGTACCCGCCACTTCCGCCAGTGCCCGACTCGCCCACCACACGGCAAACGCAAAGCATGCCACCAGCTCACGCCAACAGCGGCATCAGGGGCGGCGACACGAGCAGCGACAGCACCGGCGGTGGCAGAAAGTTTCCGACCCTTCGCACCTTGAAGCGCGCCCGTGCACGCGCCTTGGATGATCTGCTCACGGGCAACGTTGCCGGCACCCTTGAGCTGTGCCACGAGATCTTGCAAGAATGGCCGTTCGATAGCACAACTCTTCTCTACCAGGGGGCCGCCATGGCGCAGAACGGCGAGTGGGGAGTCGCCTGGAACAAGATGGAGCGCGTTCTCGCGCTGTTTAGCGGCTCGCAGAAAGTGGCCCCCCCATCAGCTCGCAGTACCCACGGCTCGCCTGGGCAATCGAGTGCTGGCATCGTATCCCCTCGCGCTGCAGAAGTGGTCCCACTCGATGTTTTCTTAGCAGCGGTCGTAAATCTTGCGTCGTTCGCGGGGAACCGGGCATCTGAAACTACAGACGTGCACGCGGAAACTCTATTTCTTGTTGAGGGCCTGCGCGGAGCCGCGGATCGACAAGATGCCGCCCGTCCGGGCAACAAGGTGACACCGTCGAGACCTTCGTCGTCGTCCACGCCATCGTCAAAGTCTGGAGAAACTGTCAGCACGGCGGAGAATACGGCCGAAGAAGAAGAGGCCGGAACCAAGTCATCGCTAGGTGGAAACAACGAAGACGGCGGCGACGGTGACGAAAATACACTAACGGGGGAGTACTACGAGGTCGGAAAGATCGACGACTTCACGAAGATTCTCACGGCGCTGGGCAAGGCGCTGGAAGGAAACGGGCAGCTTACGTCGGCGCTGAGGCTCTACCAGAGAGCCATCCTCCTCGGCGGTCACCAAGACCAGGCGGCTCTCCGCGGCCTCGGGAGGATGTCTCGCCACCTCCTCCAAGTGGAACGGGAAAGAACGCGGAAACGTGAGACCGCCCAAGCAGGAGCTCTGCGGAATCTGTCGTCGGGGGCGTCGCCAACCTCGCCTTCTCCTCCTGGCGACCGTTACTACCGTCAAGGGTACCGAGGCGAGGCAGCACTTGGAGACTCTGCTGGTTCGAGGTCACACGCGCAGGGGCAACGAGACAGCTGTGAGTGGACTATCACCCATCCGAGACCGGGCCAAGTCTTTTCCCCGGAGGACTTGATCCAGGTGGAGTTCGATCTGACCCTCCTGGATCCAGGATTGCCCTCTGCGGGTTCCCTCTTCGAAACCGTCGCAGTCGGTGGTGACAGCGCTGTCGGTGGCTTTGGGTTGGAAGATTACGCACAGGGAGGCAGAGGATATCGCGCCGGGGATGTCATCAACGATAACCTGGGCGTAATCGTTTGCAGTTACCTGGATCACTATGAAGCAGCGAACTGCGTCCCGAGAGGACAGCTGCGTGATGTCGGGCTCGGCTGGCACCTGCTCACAGCAGAGGTTTATCAGCTACCTAGCTTGAGACCTTACTCTTGCCCCGCAGGCAGCGGCGGAGGCAGCCGCGGTGTCGGGGGCNAGCACTTGGAGACTCTGCTGGTTCGAGGTCACACGCGCAGGGGCAACGAGACAGCTGTGAGTGGACTATCACCCATCCGAGACCGGGCCAAGTCTTTTCCCCGGAGGACTTGATCCAGGTGGAGTTCGATCTGACCCTCCTGGATCCAGGATTGCCCTCTGCGGGTTCCCTCTTCGAAACCGTCGCAGTCGGTGGTGACAGCGCTGTCGGTGGCTTTGGGTTGGAAGATTACGCACAGGGAGGCAGAGGATATCGCGCCGGGGATGTCATCAACGATAACCTGGGCGTAATCGTTTGCAGTTACCTGGATCACTATGAAGCAGCGAACTGCGTCCCGAGAGGACAGCTGCGTGATGTCGGGCTCGGCTGGCACCTGCTCACAGCAGAGGTTTATCAGCTACCTAGCTTGAGACCTTACTCTTGCCCCGCAGGCAGCGGCGGAGGCAGCCGCGGTGTCGGGGGCGGGAACGAGGATTTCAGGTACCTAGGGGTTGTTCCTGTAAGCCGAATCATCGGTTGTTCTTCGGGGATCGTTCATCGCCGTTTCCAAATTTGGTTCGCACCGGCACGAAATTGTTGCTTTCAGGGCCAACGACTAGCTTTTCAGGCATTTTCTAAGGACGCGGAACGTCAGTCATTTCNTCATCAACGATAACCTGGGCGTAATCGTTTGCAGTTACCTGGATCACTATGAAGCAGCACACTGCTTGCCGAGAGGACAGCTGCGTGATGTCGGGCTCGGCTGGCACCTGCTCACAGCAGAGGTTTATCAGCTACCTAGCTTGAGACCTTACTCTTGCCCCGCAGGCAGCGGCGGAGGCAGCCGCGGTGTCGGGGGCGGGAACGAGGATTTCAGGTACCTAGGGGTTGTTCCTGTAAGCCGAATCATCGGTTGTTCTTCGGGGATCGTTCATCGCCGTTTCCAAATTTGGTTCGCACCGGCACGAAATTGTTGCTTTCAGGGCAATCGACTAGCTTTTCAGGCATTTTCTAAGGACGAGGAACGTCAGTCATTTTNGAGCTTGAGACCTTACTCTTGCCCCGCAGGCAGCGGCGGAGGCAGCCGCGGTGCCGGAGATGGGAACGAGGATTTCAGGTACCTAGGGGTTGTTCCTGTAAGCCGAATCATCGGTTGTTCTTCGGGGATCGTTCATCGCCGTTTCCAAATTTGGTTCGCACCGGCACGAAATTGTTGCTTTCAGGGCCAACGACTAGCTTTTCAGGCATTTTCTAAGGACGCGGAACGTCAGTCATTTCGTCTAGATTGTCTAGGTCCAAGAGAGGTTCCGTCTAGTCCAACTTCCCTTCCTTTGTATCTACCGACACTCTCTGATCGTTGTTGTCGCCACAGCACCAGGACAGTGAGTTTCTGCGTCGGGAATGCCACCACCACGTGTAGAGAAGCAAAAAGAGAGAAGGATACCAGCGGCCAGTACGATATCGAAGATCTCAGACCTACATCACCACAGCAAGAATCGAAGGCAGATGTCTCTCCTCGAGCGGGCGTTGCAGCACCAAGGGAAGCCCCGACAGAAAGAGGGATTTTTTCGGTGGAAAGCCAGGGAGCGGACGTGGAGCTCCCGTTCTGTTTTATGACCCTCGCGCTGAACGCGATGCCGTTCATCACGCACCACACCCCGACGTTCAACAGAGTCGGCGAGATCCTTTCCGAGCGTGCTGCTGCTGCTGTGTCATCCGCCACGTCTACCGCTCGTAAACCCTCCCAAAGCACGCGTTCTCCCGCGGACGATGACGATTCCAACGGTGATCTCCCATTGGACATACCCCCACGGCCGCGGCCGGAGTCGTTCTGGGAGTGGCACGTCGTGGAAGGCGTCGCTGCGGGCCGGGCGAACCATGGGAGTCCGTACTCCCGACGGCGCATCCCGGATCGGTTCTTCGACCCGATCACGGGACTATCCGTAGACGGAACGACGGAGTATCTCGACAGCATTGTTGCGAGCGACTTCGGCGCCAAGGCCTCATGGGGGAAGCAGCGGGTTCGCGTCCACCGTCGGTGTGAAAGTAAACGCACAACCGAGGGGCCTGCTGGAGGAGCGGGCAGCTACCACAGCAAGGCACCAACCGGGAACTCGACCGGGATCCCTTCCGCCGGCGATGCTGAGCGGGAACGAAACACGCCCGGATTGCGTGGCGGCGGCGGCGGTGATGTCCGTGATGATACATACGGTGGTGGCGCTAGCGGCAGGTCTTCATGTCTGTGGCGCGACAAAATCCAGATGATCAACTCGGTCGCGTTCTCGCTGGAGAAGGAATGCCTGCTGGTGCAGGTCGATGCTGACGAGCTCTGGACGGCCGAGCAGCTGGTGCTGCTCCGGGATATGTTCTTGCTCGAGCGGAAAGGGGATGGCGGGGAGAATTTTCGGAACGACGCAAAAAGCGAAGAAGAAGAGCAGCAATCATTTTCCGGAACCGCCAACGTGGTTGGCCATTCCAGCGAAGGATACACGTTGAGTGACGAATACAAGCGGCTGCAGCAACAGCAACGTGGCGGCCAACAACAGGAGGTGAACCAGCCACACCGCCGGACGGCCATAAAAAGGGAGTGCGCCTACTTCGATTGCCCCTTCTTCATCGGCCCAGATCTAGTGACGGTCACGGAAGACGGTTGGGGCCATTCAGCATCCAACGAGTGGCTCCGAGCCTGGGTGTTTCGACCACGTGGGTCCGTTTGGCTCAAGCACGCGCCGCCAGAGCTCGCCAGGCACGACGAGGCCACCGGCTGGATGTTGTTGGCTGGCGACCGGTGCATCGGGCGAGAAGAGACCAGGGAGCGGGGACTTGTTTTCACGCACTACGCGTATGTTCTTGAGGAGCAGGTGGGTGTCCCGGCATTTTTCTGGGTCTTGATTGTTGAGGTCGAGGATAAGATAAGGGTTGTCTTTCGACGTGGTGCGCATAGTGTTTTTGCTTGAGGACGTCACACCATGCTGAACAGAGGGCAGGTGCTCGCTACCGACTACGCTCGGGATACACCGGGATGCGTTGAATGGGATCAAGAGGCGGTTGCCGATATCCCATGACAATGCTATCGGAGAAGACACCACGTCCAAGATTTTCCCTACTCTTCTTGAGGTCGACTGTGAAATGCTACCTAGGGCCAAAAACATGTTGATACCCCAAGGTCGTATCGCCTGTGGCGTCGTGCACACCGTCGCATCCAGAGGATGTCCTCGTAGGCGTTATTGCCACAGTTACGGCGATAGCTACATCATTTAGCGGTCCCCGATTTTCATCCGATCCGTAATGGTTCAACACTAATTTCAGCGAGTGCATGCGCCAGGTCCGATTCAAGGACGAGTTCTACGGGCACTCGGACATGGCGGCAACCGAAGAAAGTCTAACCAACGTAACAACGAAGCCGGGAGACCCCGTCTCCGAGTGGCGAGCACTTCAGAGAGCGGCTCCTCCCGTCCTTCTCGCCGACTACTTGACGTGGCTGCGGGTGCAGGGAAGCACCCAGGATCCTAGGCTACTGACGACCGTCGCTGACCGTCCCCCTCCTGCTGGGTTTTCCACGTCCAGCCTGGGGCAGTGGTCTCGGCCGCACTGCAGCGGCGGGAGAGAAGAAGAAGGAGACTCAAGCGAGACAGCCCGTAGAGTGGAAGGTGACCGCCATGGCAAGCAGGGAGGTGTTGGCCTCACGGCAGGCGCTGCTCGAGTGCCTGCCCTCGCAACGTTCCCCAACGACTCGGTCGTACCGCTTAAGCTGTTCCTCCAGCAAGAGGAAGGCGGCCGATGTCGACACAACAGGACTAACGGCATCCAAGATCATGCGAGTGGTACGGGGGAAGCCAGAACCTCCTTCCTAACACACGGAGTACATGTCGGTTTGAAGGAGCATGGTCCAGGCGGAGGGTTACTGCCGGTGCCGGGGGGAAGGGGCGGAGACGATCGGAACGGGCCATTTGCGGAGGCGGCGACTTGTTGGGTTTTCCATTTGGTGGTGGACGGGGTGGTGTTCCAAGTTGATGTCACTAAGCCGCAGGGGATCAGCCGGGTGTGGGCGAGCGTCCTACCGGCGGTGAGTAGGACCGAAGATGCCATCGGCCGCAGAATCAGCACACCCGTATGTGTTAAGGAGTGTTGCTGTATGGCACAGATNGGCGGTGAGTAGGACCGAAGATGCCATCGGCCGCAGAATCAGCACACCCGCATGTTAGCGCACCCTTTTTGTTAGCAAAAAGCACANGCAGGGTATCTGTCGATTGACTTTTACCTGAATCGGTACACCTTCGCACATGTTAGCGCACCCTTTTTGTTAGCAAAAAGCACAAACATCTTCAACAACAAAATGATAGGTGACTGTCGCCGAAATACACCTCCATTGCCTCTCTACATCTCAAACGCCCGTCTATCGTGTTCCCGATGCTGCGTCCCTCACGGCCCGTAGATTTTGGGTCGCCTCAGCGAGTTCGAAGGCACCTGCCTCACTCTCCTTCTTCGCGGTTTGGCTCCGCCTCCCCGAGTCATCGAGGAGGCGTTTTTAGGTCTTCCCTCGGAACGGTTCACTACCAAGCACCTGCCCCTGTACAAGCCGTTCTTCGGCTACGTCGCTGAGGGGCTGATGCTCTCGTGGGCCGTGCGGAACGCGGGGGCGACAGCGTTTGTCAGCACGCTATATTCTCAGCCGCTCTGGGTGAGACATCCATTTTCATCAACAATTTATGTAGGAAATTCACGTTTGCTGCACGCAATGCCCTCTATTCTTGGCAGCGAATGAACGCCTTGTAGGACAGGATGCGGCAAAGTTCCAAGAACGACGTCATTGCCTATGCCTCACATGTCTATCGTGCAACCCTTCCCGCCCGACACCCATCGCACAGGCTACAACACCCAACGTTGTGGGGCTCCTCTTGGTCCACGATGTCCTGCCCGAAACCTTTGGTTGGGACATGTCCAAGGGCGAGTGGTCACAAAAGGCCAATGCCGTCGCCGAAGCTTCCAGCGTGGTCGCCGTATCTCAGCACACCGCCAAAGAATTCCTGCGTGTGTACCCTCCCGAGATCACGACGCCCTCAGCTAGCGGCAACGCGACCGGCAGCCACTCTTTAAGGTCCGTCTGGGTGGCACACAACGGCGTGGACACCGCGGTTTATCGCCCGCTGACGTTCAACGGCGACAACCACGTGCCGGATGACGATGGCGATCAGAACAGCACCAGTAATACCAACGAGAGCAACGCATTTCGACGACTGGCGGGCCTGGGGCCAGGTACCCCCTACGTGATGATCGTCGGCTCGAGGCTCGGATACAAGAACGCTCGCGCTGCCTATAGAGCGCTCGGCCTCGCAGCCACTCCAACCGTCGATGCTGCAAGCTCCGGTTCAGCAGCACCTGGCGGCACTCTTGCGCTTGTCCTGGTCGGCGGCGGTCCCATCCAGCCAGACGAACTCGAACTTCTGGCAGAGGTTGGTGCATGGTCACACGTCGGTGTTGGGTCGGGGATGACACCGGCAGACACAAAACACAGAGCGGGAGCAGGAGGAGGACGAGGAGGAGGAGGAGGAGGAGGAAGGGGGGGTGAAGAGAGCGAACCTGGTGTTGTAGACGATAATCTACTGGCCCAAGGCTACGCGGGGGCAAAGGCACTTCTCCACCTCTCGCTTGGGGAAGGTTTCGGGTTGACCGTACTGGAGGCGTTCGCGTGCGGGTGCCCAGTGATCGCCGCCGACATCCCTCCCATCAGAGAGATCGCCGGACTCCCGGCAATGGACCAAGAACGAACAACCGACGCAGAAGGCACAGTACGGGTAGCGGGATCATCGGTCAGCGGAAGTGATACGCCACCTCTGGCCTATGGTGACGGTGGAGATAGCAGGGAAAGGGGACGATACGACGGAGCTTCATCTCCTTTGGAAGGGGGCTTGGTTCTCGTGGGAAACCTCATGTCGGCGACCCAAGTATGGAGAGCGGTGAGAGCGGTCGTGGCGATGGACGCAGGGCGCCGGGTCGCCGCATCGGAGGCCCTCGTGAGGCGTGCAAGGGTACTAAACTCTTGGCAACCATTGGCGGACACGCTGATCAAGGCAGCCGCAGATTCGGCATAGTGCTTGAGCGATCTCAGGTTTCCAGCGGCAAGCTCAGGGGGTGCGTAGATATTAAACGTATGTGTGGTTAAAGTGTTGCGCTGTTTGATCAATATAGGCATATCTTCAACGGAAGGCCTATGTTTTATAGCGTCACCTCGGTCTGAGCAATGGGTCAGACAAGCCGAACCCCGGTGCCCTGAACGAACTCGATACGAGGCAAAACGTGTATTTTCCCGATCACATTTGTTCCAGGTTCGCACCGTCGGCGTAGGGTACTCACAGGTGGGGGTATGTACCGTCAACACTGCAATGGAAGTGTGTACTTGAGGTTAGGTGCTGGTGCTTGAGCTTACCGAGTAGATGAATCGGGAACCTCACAAAAATTGTTCGTGAAAGCGGGTTGTCGTTTGCGGAATCAAGTACTTGACGAATTTGAGAAGAAATTCGCGTGCACTGCGAATACCGTTACTCGATTGTGTCCTGGGTGTGCTCGTCCCATCTATCTAGGCGCCAGTCTGCACAACACGGTGCAGACCATGCTTGACGCAATCAGGCACCCGTGGTCGCAAAGACCTCAGCAGTCCCTGTCGTCTTTCTAGTGCGACTACGTGTGGGTTTCACTCAGATCCCCGCCTCAGTAGTGAAGACTAAAACTACCACACACTTCGCGTCCTCGAGGGACGCCCGCACCGCCGTTCATCCGTTCATCGCCGGCTACTGCTACTACAACGTCGCCGGCCGTTACTGTGCGCCGCAAAAATCATGACTTGCGAAGTTATCACTTCGGAGAGATTCGAACCCGCAACCCAGAGTCAACATTTTTGCGAGGTTAGCAGCAACTGGACCACCGGGGCGATCGGTTTGAAGCAAGTGAAACAGGTGTTTTCCGCAACATGGAAACCATGTGCTTGACTCAAGTCGAGTGAGCTCTTACAACAGGAGGGCCATATCCGCTGAAGCCAAAGGATGTCAACATCTGCCATCACGAAGGATACATATCAATCAGAAGTTTCCATGACACAACAAACGAACGCCCCCCATTCCACACAATACCCGAAGGCGAGTTCAAAACCCGAACTACGTCTACCGTGAAGAAGTGCTGGTCAAAGCAAGCGGCGAGGATGCTGCAAGCTCAGGCACAACCTGATTGGACATTCCACATGCACACCCTTGAAGTGACTCTAATCAAACAGTAAAACGCAAGTCCCGTTCTATGGCAGTTCATCAGCAGCACAGCCCAGACTGGGCTGCTGTTGGTTCTTCAGGCTCCTACTATGATGCACCACGTGTTCATAAGTTCTCGAGAAGTTGCTCGTTAGCAACCGCACACCACACCTACGCCTACACTCACCGTGCACTTCACACATGAACACAGAACGGGTTGCTTGCGGATCCCTTGCTAACACTGCACTCGGACGCAAAGTCATACAACGTGTGTAAAAAACAACCAGCCCAATCTTCGGCGCGAAATCTCGCAAAAAAAACACAGAACACTTTTTGGGATGACCAAACTCAGCGGGGTATCCAACACACCGCGCACGAAAACAAAAAAACGGCAAGAAAAACGGCGCGTGACCGAAAAAGGTGGCAGCCTCGACGTTGGCGAGTCCCCGATAGGGCAACAAACGCAACCAACATATGCCCTCTGTGAAAGTTAGCTTTTACCGAACAGCACAGCCGATGGTCATGCCATGCCAAATCACTTGCTCTTCGATAACGGGAGACTTTGTCGCGCCGTCCTCGTCTTGGAGGCAGGTCTATCGCTACATGGGGGGGGAAGACACTAAACTAACACGAAGCACTGCTATCAACAACGGGGTGTAGGCAATCTTTTCCCCACGACCAAACACCGCTGCGGCAACGACACGACGAAGCGGTACCGGCAGGGGGGTAGTGTACTTCTGTTCCGTGTCACGTCGCCTTCTTGGATGGGGCTTGCCGCGCCGCCCTTCCCTGCGAAAACGCCACAAACGCGCACGAGAGGGGGAACTGCAAGAGGCAGTACAGCCCTTCCATCGCTACGAAACCCTCCACGCAAGCGGTTTGGTTCTTGGCGGAGTGCGCAAGCACCGCGACCGAGAACACTAGCCCCGCCACCTGGCAGAGGGCAAAACGAGCGCACAAGTAAGCTCAAAACGATGGGAAACAGGTGTGTGTGTGTTTTTTTATTAATAGCATCGACCGCGCTAACCGGCTGACCAATTAAAAGACGTCAGTGCCAGCGGGTAAAAATCAAGGTCCCTGGAAGGGGGCCGAAATTCGAAAAATGCGCAATGCGCTTGATGCGAATGCCAATACGACTCTCTCCACATGTTCTTTCACGTAGACACACATCTCAGCTACACAAATGCATTCGCTCGAATCTAGGAAGCCACTGATGCAAAGAGTGGAGTACAGCAAAAGGGTTATTTCAAGCCCAGCCGAAGCCAGGATATCGTGGTATGCTGCA